TATATATATATATATATACAGTATATATGTATACATATAGATGTTTGTGACTTGTTTTAATGTTGTTGTTTTGTTCTCAGTTTGACAACGTGGATCCCAATCAAAGAAGATCCTCAGACGGCGTGCTGTGTGTTGTCAAGGAAACGGACAAGGCCCCATCCAGAGGACGCCTGTCACCTTCATTACCCTACAAACTAGAGCCAGGTGCTGCAAGTTTTAACAAACACTCAACGAAATGAATGCTACGTTTGTACCTTTTATTTATTTTTATTTGTTTTTAGATCAGCCAGTTGCTTTTGTGAACGAAGAGACGGATTTTGGAGCGAAGGAGAAACGCCGAACGTCAAGAAACGGCCTCAGCAGGTGAGTCAAACATCTGTCTATGCACACAGTTTAGAGAATACATTTTTTAATCATCTTCTTCTTCACTCTGAAGCAACGGAGAGGTTTTGAAGGACTTGGGCCGGCCGAGGGTTCCAGTTGTTTGTTTGGAGCGTCTCAAAATTCTCGTGTCGCAGCTTCCGCCACACGGACGAAGACAGAGCGACCCCCTGCCTGCCACCGAGACGGACAAGAGAGAACCCCCCACTCCCCAAAGAACCTGGCACTTTGGAACATCAGAGGTTTGTCCTTTTTCTTCTTATGCTGCACAGAACATTTTTTAGTCGTACCGTTAGTAAAATATCTCATGAACCACTTGACACATTTCAATAAAACTCTTAGAAAGTGATCACTGGATGTAAACTTAGAACAGATCAACTTTTGGTGTCGATCCAGTTTGAAATGACTCCCACAGCTAATTGATATTAACCAAAAGTCTCTATGACTCAGTTTCTTCTGCAGAGATGAAGCCAAGGTTCGATGTGGTAATAACTGAGAGTCATTAACACATTCTGAGTGTAATTTTTGTTTTGTTTTATTTAACCTTTATTTATACAGGTAGTCTCATTGAGTCGTGCAGACTCATTTTCAAGATCGACCTGCTTTAACCAGACAGAGAACAGACAATACACAGTAGTGCCTTGTTTACTGTGGGTAATCCGTACCCTGCGATAAGTGAAAAACCACGAAGTAGGAATATTAGTACAAGTAGTAAGTAGTAGTTTATTTTAGTATTTATATATTACGGTGTTTTAAACCGTTCCCACACTCTTGCAATATTCTAAACAATATTTCTAAACTCTAAACGCTCTAACAGAGACAGAATGTCGTTATTTCAGCTCCCTGCCTCCTCTGCTCTCACCACCTGCAAGCGCTTTGGCCACGCCCACTTCTCCGTTCTGCTCGGAGAACAGCTGATCAGCTGCAGCAGGAAGCTTCTTCTGCAATGTGGGCAGCTTAAAGGTGCTAAATTTAAACTAATTTATTTTAAATAAAAATGCCATGCCGATCGTGCGGCTCATCCATCAATGAGCCAGTTGTGAGTCATGTCCAGTCTTATTTTGAAAAACCGCGATAGAACGAGTCCACGGTAAACGAACCAGGAAGTAACGAGGGACTACTGTGCGACAACAATAAAAAGCAATTAAAATAAAAATAGTGTTATGAAAACACTGTTAATATTTGCAGAGTGGTTCTGTCGATGACAGTAACGACTGCGGCAACAGACGATGACTGCCCTCCAGAACCGGGTCCTGCAGACAGAACATTCAAAGTTCCACCTGGAACTGAACTGTTCCAGATTGTTGTAATGTCTAGAAATATTGTATGAGATTATGCACGATTTCATATTTCATCTTCGACACAAGATGATCTTAAAACTCTGACTTTAAAGGCGGACGATGGTGGCATCAAGGAATCCCTGGTTTTTAATTTTAAACGTTTGTTTTTATTCTTCTTCTTGCTCTACATTATATTATGATGCATTCAGGTGACGGCGTGCTGTTGCCTTTTTAAAAACGTTCCCACCCATACAATAAAACATTAAAAACTAAACTGAACACAAACACGTTCATAAAAATTGAATGACGTTCTTGTTGTCTTGTAAATTTAGGGAATATGTGGAAGACCTGGCACCAGGAGGACCACCCGCTCCCTCACGGCACCTTCCTACTCGGAACAACAATCCCACCTTCAGTCTTCCACATCCTCAAATAGCAGCGACTTTGACAGCCACAACAACAACAGGCGACTCAGTTCTCGCAAAGGACCCGTCCTGCTTCCCACGGACTCCAGCTATGTGCCAGAACATTACTCTGCACTCGATCTGGACTCTGATTCTGATCCGAGGTCTGTTTCAGAGGATCCGTTTGTTTCAATCGATCCTCAGCAAAACTCAGACGCGTCGCCAGATTCTGATCCGAACGCACAATCATCATCCGAGGCTGAATTTATTTGCGTGGCGGAGAGGAAACCAGCAGCTGTAGCAGAGATGAGGCTTTGCGGAGATTCAGATCCAAGCCTCGAGTACGAGGCCGACCCAGACTCGGATGCAGGAACGGACTCGGACGGGCGAGAGTTGGATGCGGACGCGGAGTCGGGGGATGTTGAAACAGAGTCTGACACTCAGCCTGATTATGACCCAACTTTTCAGGCTGAAACAGATTCTGACGCTGTGTCCGGTCAGCCTCCAGACTTTCAGGCCTCCGCGGAGTCTGAGCTGGACTTAGAATCAGAACTTGAGCAGACAACGGACGACCCCCAGCCGCTTCGCTCGGACCTGGAGGAGGAGTCTCCCATCGGTCCTGCTCAGAGGCCTCTTCTGATCGCGAACCCTGCTGCTCAGAGGCTGGCTGAGGGCATCCAGACCGAACAGGACGTGGACGAGATGGAGAGTGAGGACTTCTGTGCCGTGTGTCTGATAGGAGGCGAGCTGCTGTGCTGTGACTGCTGCCCCAAAGTCTTCCACCTGTCCTGCCATGTCCCGCCTCTCCTGAGCTTCCCCACGTAAGATTCCCATGATGCACCCTGACTTCTCTCACCGCCTCTTGAACATGAAACTTGAAGCCTAATGACCTGGTTTTGATTTATTTTTTCTCATCCAGAGGCGACTGGGTGTGCAGCCTGTGCAGAGATGTTGTACAGCCAGAGGTTGAATACAGCTGTGAGAACGAGAGAACATCTGGAGCTCACACTCATGGACTGTCAGCATGTGACCAGAGAGTGAGCTGTTCTTTTGTTTGCATCGATTTAAACAACAGTTACTAGTATTTATCGTCCACCACGGAAAGACGACGGTGCTCAATTGTGTTTTTGTCCGTTCGTCCCTTTGTTATAAAATTATCTCATGAACCACCGGACAGTTTTCAATGAACAAAACAAAAACTAACGTACGACTACAGCAGATAACATCTGGATTCAGTGTAATTGAAGATGGCTGTTAAAAAACACAAATGTGGCCACATCTGTCAATTTTACAGATAATGTCCTAAAGTTTGCAGTGGTAGTAACTGAGACTGAGCCGCTAAACTCTGCAAGAATTGTGTTAAATTTGTCAACTATTCAAATTCAACTGTGTCTGTCTGTTAGCAAAATATCTCATAATTCACTGGATGTATTTTGGTGGAACATCCAGGAAATAATCAGTGAATATGTTTTAACTTTTGGAGCCAACCCAAGATGGCCGCTGTTGGATAAAAATATCCTCTGTTCATCTTACTTGCTCAAAGAAGCGTCACTCAAGGGCACAGGGATTTTGAACTGGTTTTACTTGCAAGGACAGATTACCCCAACAGCTTACACACATGTACAGAAGTTACATCATGGAGTCCAGTCACGAGAATCTGCCCCGGGCAGCGTGCGAGAATTGTTTTTATAACATTATCAGCTCTCGGCTCACAGGCAGACACTGATGACCTCGGCCATCCAGCTGCACATGCAGGATCAAATCCTCATTCAGCCCTCTCTGAGAGAGAAAAGAGCTTTCTGGAAACTCAAACACATGGTTCATGGGCAGTTAACATTCTCAGCCATAGTAGTTAAAAAAACATCCATAAACCTTGACCAAAAATTCCCTGACAGCCACCGCAGCCAAACCATATCAGTAAATGTCAAAACGGATTTAACTCAATTAGTTTTATACACAATAAGCTAAAATTAGCTGTGCAGTAGCTGAAGGTCCACATCAGTACTCTGAGCGGGACATCTTGTGATAACACATCAGACTGTGCATTATGTTAATGTCAAGGTTTGACCAAAAAGGCTACAACTTCAACATTTCTCAGCATATAACGGTTCTAACCTACTGGTGGGCGATATGCATTCACTCAACAAATGTTCGGTTTTGAATTTGACTTGTCATTTTCTCTCCTCGTTGTTATCGTTTCCTTTTTTTGTGTGCAGAGATGTGAGCGGCTGACTCTTCTGATTCTCAGCAACATGCTGAGCGCTCCGTTCCACGAACCCGTCAGTCCGCTTGTGAGTCTTTGTGTTCTTACAGTCCAGCTCCGGTGATCGTTCTCACATCTACCGTTCATGTTTCAGCTTCCTGTCAGGCACAATGCGGTGCCCCGAGGAGTTCTCCTTTTGTTCCTTTGGCTGCTGTGTTTGTCAGGGTTCTGGGCTCCCCCGTGGAGGTTGAGTTTTAAACAGTTACTTTCATGTTCAGTTTTTAATTTTTCCTCATCAAAGCACAGTGTGTACATCCTTAGGGCCCCGGAACTGTCTTAAACACATTTTCATCTCTGTAAGATATTCACAAAGCTGAACTTTCAAAAGAATTGAATTGTTTCCACTTGTGTGTACATCAGCTCATTTTGGCAGTACTTTGGGTCAACCTTATTTTTGTTAATAGTTGTCGAGAACCTTAAAAGTTTTTTAAATCCCTGCAAAGAACAAATCCTGACCAGTTGATTGTTACATTTAAATTGAAATTCTAGTTCAGCGGTCTTCAATTAATTTCAGCAAGGTCAATCTAAAGAAATATTTCTGTCAATTCAGTTCCATTCAGTTTATACAAGTCACAACAGAAGTCATCTTAGGGCGAAGCGTCTAGAAAATATATTTAGTGACAATCCAGTTTTCTTTTCTCGTCAGATTGTTTTTTCAGCCATGGATCTCTTCGTGGGCTGGAAGGTTTGTAGAGAAAAACGACCGTATTTTCTGCCGTATACGTCACGCCGCTGTGTAAGTCGCATCAGTCCAAATACGTCTAATAAACTGGAAAAAAACATAAATATGTTGCTTCACCGTATAAGTCGCATCTATTATACGTCACCGCTGACGCTTCGCGTTTGTTACACGTCACCATAGACAACCCGGAGATGTGGGTTGGTGTTGTGACAAAAATCGATCAGACGGCGGCTGCGGGAGCGTGCACGGGAGGACTTTAACAAGAATTTAACAAGATTAACACTTAAAAACAATTATTTGTTTGCTCAACTTTATAGTAAAGGTGCGTCTCAGTTGAACTTTTACTTAATACAGTAATGCTCAGTCAGGTCATCTGGAGGGTTTATTTTTTATAGAGACGTTTCACCCTCTATCCGGAGTTTACCTGGAACTCCTCAGACTGATGAAGCCCTCCGGATAGAGGGTGAAACGTCTCTATAAAAAGGAAACTATCCATATGACCTGAATGAGCATTATTTAATTTGGTACCTGGATGATTGAGCATGAACTTTGTTGTTTTACTTAATGAATGCACTTCATTAGTCAAATCAGCTGCATTTCACCGGGGCGGGGAGGTGGAGCTGATTTGATGGTTGCTCCAGGCATGATCCTGGAGATGGATGAAGGTGGCAGACAATGGCAAGCCAATTGTGTTAATATCAACTTTTACCTATTAAATGACACAACGGCATGCCATATTACTCGAGCGCAATCTAGCGGCTGAAAATATTAGTGTTCAATATTTTCAAAGTCAGAATGAATTAACTATCTCAGCCAAAAGTTGGTTTATAAATATAGGAAAAATCCATAAAAATGTTGCTTCAGTGTATAAGTCACAGGGCATGTAAATTATGCAAAAAACTGTGACTTATAGGCCGGAAAATACAGTACGAGCCAAATGTAGCAATGTTCATAAATGCTAGAAAGCTGCACTGCCTTAAATTAATTATTATAGACGCTAAAAAAGATGCATCACCTAAAATAAATGACTGTAAATGCAAATGAAACTGCAAAACCTAAAATTTATTATTTTAAATACTAGAAAAGCTTTGCTGTGTCATAAACCTTCAAAAAGCTGCACCATGCAAAAATAATAACTCTCAAAGTATCCATTGAAAGTATATTTACAACACTTTACCCTTTAAAGACGGCGCAATTCAAGATGGCTGCCACATCTAATGGACCTTTTCAAACATGCAAATGGCTGACTCGGTAATTTATCTGGAGATTTTTGTTTAAAACTTTGATATTATTTGTCAAAGACAACTTTGTCTGTCTGTTGTTGTGATTATGTTTTGGAGTCATGCTTTAAGAAAGCCACGCTGACTAAATCAGCTTTGCAAACACAAAAAATAGCTACAAGTCGGTCAGTTTCACAGATTTGGAGCTAAAATTTTTGAGTGGTAGTAGCTGAGAGTCATCCCCCACATATTAATTATCACGAGATCTTTCTTTAAAGTTTTGAATTGTATTTCTTTAAAGAAGGCTAGTTTAATTTTTGCATAGTTTTTAATATTTCTGTAACTTGCAACGTTTTGTATTTTGATTAAAATGATGTTATATGGCTAATGGACACACATCCTGCAGGGATACACATTACAAGGCAGGAGGAGCTCGAGAAATTAATATCTTTAATAATGGAACTTTATTCAGAAAAATTAAAAATGTTAAATGTCTTTGCTTTGTCATGCAGGCACGCCATTACTACCAGATCATCAAGAGGCCGATGGATCTGTCTGTGATCAGAGCTAAGCTCAATAAGGGGAATTCCAGACATTACAGCTCAGCAGAGCAGTTCGTCTCTGATGTTTATCTCATGTTCTACAACTGCGCCAAGTTTAACTATGTAAGTACAAAGACAAAATAAGAGCATGCATGTTGGTTTCTGTATCATAATCTTGTATATTTTGAAAAGGTTGCAGCGATAGCTCAGTTTGTGTGTGACTCTGACCGCAGCCGGACTCTGAGGTGGCCCAAGCAGGCCGCAGCCTCGAAGTCTTCTTCACCTCAAAGCTGGCGGAAGTTTTCCCCGACAGAGTCTTCCCTGTGGCTGAGGTGGACTCGGACAGCGACGAGAACGACGAGGCCCACTGGGCGGCTGAGAGCGGATTCCCCTGGCCGGAGAGGAGGGAGCAGTGCCACAGGAAGAGGAAGAGGAGGCAGTCGCTCAAGTCGAGGAGGCATCACTTCTAACCAGAGGTGACGAGAACTAAACTTGATGCAAAGATGGTTTCTGAGCGGAATTAACCAGTTTGTTTTTTTAAATCCTTTTAAAGATGAAGTTGTATGGTTTTCAGAAATATTACAGTGCTGCCACCTGATGGCAGCTGAACATGTTGACACTTTAATGAACTTTATTCCTGCACATCAAAGGAGCAGAGACGTATGAACTAGTTTAGGCTGCTTTTAATCCATTTGGAAATGTACCTGTGGATGTCAGCTGAGGTGACGAAGCTGCTCCTGGAGTAGCTTCTCGTCTCGTATCACAGTTTGTCCACTTGTTTGTCTTGATGCACTGTTCCATGTACAGTATTCACATGTAGACCTAAAAGTCTTGCATGCTTTATTCTGTATGCTGTGTTATATAAAGAGGGTGATGTAATGGGGCGGCTTTTGCATCTATTTTAGGATGACTTTTTTTTTAGGGTGGTAGAGAAACAGTTAAAATTATATTGCTGGTAACTTTGGTCATTTTAATTTCAATAAAGGTTTTACGTATTACATACGTGTGCTAGGAAATCCATTCTATAACTCTAAATACTGGTAGTTCTTTTTTTAGTTTTGAGAGGATTGCACTTATCTTAAGTTCAATTTGCTTATCATTGGTGTTCCTGTAGTTTTTTTTTAACGCAACAGCAGAAATGTTATTTTGATCAGAGTAGATTAGAAGGCGAGGCACTTCAGGCGCTACAACCTCTGCTAGAGTTCAGTGGAGCAAATATATAAGATGCAGAAATTAATGTTCTTAAGAAACAATCATAAAGTCTGTGCACTTTGTATATAATGTGAGCTTTATTTGTGTTTCTGCAAGTTTTTGGACAATATTCTTCTCTAACTCAGGCTTAGTAACAGTGTATGATATTAATATTATCTTTTATTGTTATAAACATGTTTAGAACCATAATATAAAAAAGTTATTTTATAGGACCTAAAGCATTTCCTGCATAAAAATACTTTGCTTACTGCAGCCTGAAGTTTTAACCATTTCACAAACGAGCACTGAATGTACAGATGTTTAACGTCACATCTTTTGAAAACCGTAACATTTCTGTTTGTTTACAGGGAGACGATAAAACGTATTATTTTCTTCTTCTTCCCTCAATAAATGCACCTGCTGTCTTGGTAAAAGTTTGTGCGCATGCCATAATTTCCAAAACATTTAAAAACATTTAAATTATGTTTTTCACTACATGTTTTAGGATAATTTCAAGTTTAAAAACACTTTATCAACTTTAACAGTCTGTTTATTGTGAGTTCTTATATAAATGATTAACATTTACCTCATTTTTCAACTTTCAGTGTTTCTGATAAAACACATTCTGAGGAAAAATATTCTGGAGGTAAATAAATAAACTGATTGCAACACTAAACTGTTATTTCACAGATATATTGTTATCACTCTTTGGGTGCTGCTTGGCCTTTACCAGTTACCATAAAATCTGAACAAATCTGTATAAATTGGTGTAAATCTTAAAGTTGATCACAGCGGAGTTGGCACTAAAATACATTATTTAAAAAAAAGAAGTAAACTTTTGGTGTCGGAGTGGAAGCAGCAGCTGTATCCTGGAGCAGCACGTGAAGTATGTGCCACGAGTGACTGATGTTCTGTCTCCATGACAACAGCATCAAAGAGGCCTGAGGATTGAACAACGGCAGCAATGTGGATGTGGTCAACTGGTGATAAAGTTGAGTAACGAGCTCAGATGAAAACGTGCAGATCAGTTCTGTAATGGTTCACATTTAAACTGGACGTTCATTAGAGAATCCCAGTATGAAGAAGTGGACAGGACGCCACTTTGTTCTGATTTTTTGTAATTGTTTAGCTCCAACTTGATAGGCTGAGTATCACGAAACGTAAACTTCACCACAATGACCAAATAAATTGTAACAGAAAATGCTCCTAAATGATCCAGAAATGTTTAACATTTTTTTTAACAATATTGGATTTTATTTTTCATATATGAAACATAGAGAACATATATTCAAACAAACATTGAACACACCCACCCACAATTAACACTCAGGGTTTAAAAAATAAAGCTAGAGAAAAAACATACAAATGCATAAAATTAAATACGTGTATAAATATACAGATAAACAAGATAAAGTTTCAGTCATCCAATAATGCCTAAAGTATAAATAAATATTAGTTATATGAATTAATCTTATTGGGTGCTGCTCTTTTATTTTGTTCCATTCTTGAAAAACTGCATGAAGGTGTCCCATTGCCTTAAATGTGCTGGTCTTTCCTCTAACCATACATGTTAATTTCCCCAAAGCAATGCAGGAACCCGTTGCAACATTTACATTTTGCATTAAAACCATCTACCTCAGACTCCTTTTCAACTCAACAGAAAAAAGTGAGTTCTCTGAATATTTATTTTGAGAATGTGAAACGTGATGTTGCCATCTCCGTCGGTGTGCATGGTTCAGGCTCTGGTGTTTTGCACCGCTTTGCCCCATACTGGTGGACACGCAGTCCTCTTAGTAGGAACTTAGATGAAATTTGCACCACTTGGCACTTCCTGGAGACATCTTTTCCCGACGACTTGAAGATCTTCAGCCTCTTGACAAAACTCATTTGTCATGTGATGGATTGCCTCAAGCACTTCGCTTGTGGCTGACAAAACAGTGGCGCCAAGTCCAGGGCCAAAGTCATCAATAATGTTTTAGAAAAAGCAGAAGACTGTCTGATGGGTAAGTTTAGGGGGATTTTTCTGTTGGAAAGTATGGAATTAAATGTTCAGTTCCTTAATCTGGGTGTTTATATAATTTTGTTGTGCTTTGGTGCAGTGACAATAAAGCTGATTCTGATTATGTAATTTTGCATCCGTCAGATATTTTTTTCTTGCAGTTGCTTCTGTAAATGAGGGTCTCCCATCCCAGCAGGTTCGGATCATAATTTATTTGATGCCACCCATTTACCTCTTCATTCTGTTGCTTCATGAAGGTCACAAGATCAAAATTCCTTTAATTTTAACTAACTGATTTTTAAGAACACAAATCTATTAATTTATATAAAATTTATTCCATCCATCCATTTTCTTCCGCTTATCCGGGGTCGGGTCGCGGGGGTAGCAGCCTAAGTACAGGTCCAGACTTCCCTCTCCCCAGTCATTTGGTCCAGCTCCTCCGGGGGAATCCCGAAGCGTTCCCAGGCCAGCCGAGAAACATAGTCCCTCCAGCGTGTCCTGGGTCTTCCTCTGGGTCTCCTCCTGGTGGGACGTGTCCGGAACACCTCACCAGGGAGGCGTCCAGAAGGCATCCTAACCAGATGCCCAAGCCACCTCAACTGGCTCCTCTCGACGTGGAGAAGCAGCGGCTCTACTCTGAGTCCCTCCCGGATGATCGAGCTTCTCACCCTGTCTCTAAGGGAGAGCCCAGACACCCTGCAGAGAAAACTCATTTCATCTGCTTGTATCCATGATCTCATTCTTTCGGTCACAACCCAAAGCTCGTGACCATAGATGAGGGTGGGAACGTAGATCGATCGGTAAATTGAGAGCTTCGCCTTTTGACTCAGCTCTCTCGTCACCACGACAGACCGGTACAGCGCCCGCTTCACTGCAGACGCTGCACCTATCCGCCTATCGATCTCACGCTCCATTTTTCCCTCATTCGTGAACAAGACCCCAAGATACTTGAACTCCTCCACTTGGGGCAGGAACTCCTCCCTGACACGGAGAGGACACTCTACCCTTTTCCGGCTCAAGACCATGGCCTCGGATTTGGAGGAACTGATCTTCAACCCGGCCTCGTCGCACTCGGCTGTGAACCGCTCCAGCGAAAGCTGTAGATCATGATCTGATGAAGCCAACAAGACCACATCATCTGCAAAAAGCAGAGACGCAATCCTAAGGCCACCAAAACGGATCCCCTCAACACCTTGGCTGCGCCTCGAAATTCTGTCCATAAAAGTTATGAACAGAATCGGTGACAAAGGGCAACCTTGGCGGAGTCCAACTCTCACCGGGAACAAGCCCGACTTACTGCAGGCGATGCGGACCAGGCTCTGACACCGGTCATACAGGGACCTAACAGCCCGTATCAAAGGGCCTGGTACCCCATACTCCCGGAGTACCCCCCAAGTCTTCTCCAAGTCCACAAAGCACATGTAGACCGGTTGGGCAAACTCCCACGCACCCTCCAGGACCCTGCTGAGAGTGTAGAGCTGGTCCAGTGTTGCACGACTAAGACGAAAACCACACTGTTCCTCCTGAATCCGAGGTTCGGCTATCCGAAAGACCCTCCTCTCCAGAACCCCCGAATAGACCTTACCAGGGAGGCTTAAGAGTGTGATCCCCCTGTAGTTGGAACACATTCTACAGTCCTCCTTTTTGAATAGGGGGACCACCACCCCGGTCTGCCAATCCAGGGGAACTTCCCCCGATGTCCACACAATATTGCAGAGTCGCGTAAGCCAACACAACCCTACAACATCCAGAGCCTTAAGGAACTCTGGGCAATCTCATCCACCCCCGGGGCCCTGCCACCGAGAAGCTTTTTAACCACCTCGGTGAAGGTTTAATAAGTGCAGAGAAGCAGGAAACAGATTTTCAGGGGGGCCAAATTAAATCTCACATCAAGATTAAAGTTCAGGTTGCTCCAACAATTCGGGTGAAATATTTACAGATGAATTCTTTCACATAATATTTAACTTCAGAAACCACAGCACCAGCTGAACTTGAAATGAGTTTATTGCTTTTAAAAACAGTTTTTTTTACACTCTTTGGACAAAAAGCTACAACCTAACACAAACTCTTAACAGCAAGTAAAGAACTGAAAGAATATTAAAAAATATCAAGGCAACAATAAAAACTATTTGTGACTGCAAAAGAATATTAAAGTAGATCAGAGCACTCACTATATTTCAGGTATATAAAACACCTTAAACATTTCATTCTTTATTGAGACATAACATTAAAAAAACAGAACGTGTACCCAGATAATACATCTAATATGTTGTTCCAATAATTTCAAATAGTTAACCTATAATAAATTCATCCTTAGGTTAATTTTGAAAGGCAGCTATAGTTTCAATCGCTTTATTATTCACGCCAAGTTTCAACGTGTCCAAGTAGATGTACAAACATTAATGTAAAACCAGCCAGTAAATACATTAAAATTGGGTTTTGATGTAAAAATTTAAGGTGCACAACACATTTGCCATAAATGACAGCTTAACGACGTGTCACACTTTAAACGTCGTGCCTCCGCCAGGTGGAGACACGCATCAAGAAATGTTAAAAACGCCACAAAGAGGCTGCAGCGCAATGAACGAGCTGTCAAAGGCCCGGCCAGGTCGCGTCCATCTTTGGGCGTGGCCTATTAGACGTTAACTCCACACGCGCTTTCATAGACATTTTGTCCCTTTCCGCTTTCCTTACTCGGTCACGGCTAAAGTTTTTTTTAATTCTCCCTGGTCCGAATAACAACCTGCTGGATGAAAATGACAACTTCTAAGAGGTAAGACGTTTTGTCGAGCCGCGCAAAGAGCAGCTAGAACGTTTTTACACAAGTTGCGCTCGTTTCTGTGACACTTTTGTCGCCGTTTCTGTTTGTTTTTGCTGAAGAGGACGCGCTTGTGCAACCGCTCCACTTCTCGTTGCCATGACAACACACGGGGGGGCGCCACCTTGAATATTACAGTCGATCTTTAATGCGTCGTGTCTTAAACTTTCATAAAAGTGGTTAATTAATTCCTGTAACGACTGAGCACTTTTCCTCTTCAAGACACTGTAATGACGTATTGTATTAATTAGCTTGTCGAGGAGCTGCCTCTGCATCTCAACCCCAGATTAAACATGAGATTATGGTTTTTATTTGGTAATTACTTGGCTCTCTTTTGGCCTCTCAACAAGTGCAAACTGGGAATTTGAAAACAGAGTTGCACATCCGAGCACGGCTCTTTCTCTAGTCTACCTTACCTTTGACATGCATTTGATTTGCTCTTGTTTCTGCTTTGGCCCACATTTTATTTTACTTTTTTTTTATTTTTAAATTATTATTAACTTGACTCGCCTCCTCGCTTCCCAAGGCTGAGCCCAGCAAGGGCAGAGATTAGCTTTAACCAGGATTAAACCAATGAGAGAATTTGAATTTGTTGGCCCTTATCTCCTAGCAACATGTGGAGTGCCCTGAGCAAATGACAGAATTTGATCTTTCCTTCCTTATAGCAGAGCACGTCTCCCCCTTAGACACTTATCAAACCATTGACGACAGCAGGAATACTCGAGTGGGGGCTTTTAAACGGTTTGTTTGTAGGGAAACAACGTACACTTGTTTGCTGAAAAATAATACCAACTTTTCCCTTAAGATCCCTGCTTCTTATTCTAAATGCCTAAAGTCATTGTGGTCCTTCGTCTTTGTTTATTTTTCATTTATTTTTTAGGTCAAGTTATGTTATTGTGCAGCACAATGCCACAATGTAAAACAGTTGTGCGTTTTTATATGTAGTTTAAATTATAGAAGGTACAAACGAACATAAATGAGTTTACTATTTTAGTTTTGAGGAACCGGCATCACATCTTTTACAGTTTATTTACTTATTGTAACGAGTAATAGTATTTTCATGACTTTATTAAATAATATGTGACGGGGCTGCAGTATCTTGGTGGTCAGTGTCGCTGCCTCCTGAGGCTGCAGGTTCGAGCCCAGGTTGTGTTATGAAGAGTAGACGTGAAGCAACTTCCAAATCTTTCACGTGCGTTTGCTCACTGTGGCGTAAGTGTGCAGCCTCCAGAAAAAATAAAAAAACAAGATCAAAGTTGTTAGCCCCATTATTTATTATTAAAGCTTGAAGGCAATAGTTAGTTTTACCTGTACCTGTGTGTGTGTTACTTTCTCTGTAGCCCTTTCAGTGCTTCTCATGACTGATTTGACTGAACTTCTCAGACAGTAATCACTTGACATATTTTTACAACTAATTACCTGTTTGGAGTCAACCTTAGCAAATATAAAAATGGCAATAACTCAGTAAAATGTAGAGATGTTGATCTAAAATGAGCATGCTGGTAGCAGAGAGTGCCCCCCGCCACATATTCTGAGCACTAACTGATCACACGAGATCTTTGCATGTCTAATAGCAAACAGGACAGATTTTAATGAAACTGTCTGAAAGTGATGATTTGATGTGTATCTATAACGGATTAACTTTTAGAACCAACCTGACTCAAGATGGCCACCACAGCTAATTGTTCGTGACCTTTTTATGCATACTAATGAGCATGCATACGTTCTGGCACCCCATACACACATGTAGCTACTTCCGTTAGCCACAGCAGAATACATGGATAGAATACCAACTGTTGATGAAGATGAATGCAAAGAGCAAACATTAAACTTAAGAACAATATCTAATGGTTTTTTGTCAGCGATAGTAACAAATATACACAAATGACAAATAAAAGTCGATTAGCTGTCAAAGAACTGGAAGCAGGCATGAATATGGACCATATTGCACTGCAAAATGATTAGTATTAATATTGACTTCAAGCATGCACATTAGTATCTGTCATAAGGGCAAATAAACAGCCCAAAATGGCTATAACTGTGCTAATTTTACAGATACTGAGAAAACAGTGTGGTAGTAGCTGAGAGTCATGCTTAGCATTAACACATCATGCGAGATCCAAACAGCCTTGATGTAATTCTTTCTCATCGTAAGATCATTCTAGTTTAAAACTCTGACATGAAAGGCTGCATGCAATATGAATTTCAAATATGCTAGGCCTTAATTTACAATATAGGCTTTTTTTTTTTGCTTAGCTTTAATGCCTTAATCCTAACGCGTTATTTGTATATCATATTTAGACAACAAGCTGTGATAATCTTCCTGCATAATATTAGATCTCACTCCATAACTTAGTGGTGTAAATTGGGTATTTGCATTCTAAACATGCAATTTCTTGCCTCATCAGGTAATGTAATTCCATGCTTCATTAGGACTGTGAAGTTTATCATTTGTCATCAAAGCCAAGCTGTCAATAAATAATTAAGTTTCACATGAGTCAAATGTTATATTGGGGCTCAAGCAAAACAGATAGCAGTGTACATTTTAATTGCAGTTCGAAGAGTTTTAATTTTGTTTGATTTTTCAGTCTGTGTTCAGAAGTTGTTTGTTACAAGAGGTAATGATACATAGCGTTAGCCTGATTTAGTTTGTGGTTTATGCAAATCCAGAAAGCACGCTTCTGAAGACTCCTAACGACAACTGAAATGTGTGTTACGTGTGGTTCAGAGTGAAACATGGCAACTGTTTTTTAACTCTAAGATTAGAGTTCACCCTGAAGGGGTCCGATTTACCGCCGGCAATGCAAACCAAACTCTCACGCCGCTTGAGGGACCGAACGGCCCGTAGCAACGGGCCTCCAATCTCATACTTGTGGAGCACCCCCACAATGTACCTCGAGGAACACGGTCGAAAGCCTTCTCCACAAAACACGTAGACTGGATGGGCAAACTCCCATGACCCATCGTGGACCCTAGTAAGGGTAAAGAGTTGGTCCAATGTTCCACAGCCAGGACGAAACCTGCAATGTTCCTCCTGGATCTGAGGTTTGACCAATGATCTCACTCGCTTCTCCAATACTCCTGAATAGACCTTAACAGGGAGGCTAAGGAGAGTGATGCCCCTATAAATGGAGCACACCCTCGATGACACGACTTCAGGGTCAGTCACTGATCTACGACCTAGGGTGTCCTGGTGCCAAGTGCCCTTATGGACAACCTATGTTCAAATATGCTGTTAGTGATGGACAATCCACAAGCACAGAAGTCCAACAATAAAACAGTCCTCGGGTTCAGATCAAAGAGGCCGTTCCTCCCAATCACGCCCTCCAGGTCACACTGTCTTTACCCACGTAGGGATTGAAGTCCCCCAGCAGAATAAAGGAGTCCCCAGCTGGAGCACCTTCCAGCACCCCTGCCAGAGACTCCAAGATGGCCGGATATTCTGAACTGCTTTTTGGCACGTAGGCACAAACAACAGTCAGAGCCTGTCCCCCTGAAGGTGCAGGGAACCTACTCTCTCATCTACTGGGGAAAACTCCAACACACAGTCACCAAGTCAGGGGGCTAAGAGGAAACCCACACCAGCTCAATGCCTCTCACCATGGGCAACTGCAGAGTGGAATAAGGTCCAGCCCCTCTCAAGGAGATTGGTTCCAGAGCCCATGCTGTGCGTCGAGGTGAACCCAACTGCTGTATATCTAGTCGGTACCTCACAAGCTCAGGCTCCTTCCCCACCAGAGAGGTCACATTCCATGTCCCAAGAGCAGCTTTGGTAAGCCAGGATCAGAGCGCCAAGGCCCCCACCTTTGGCCACTGTCCATGGCTTCACGCACCCGATTCGTATGGCCCCTCCTGCAGGTGGTGGGTCCACAGGAAGGCAAATCCATGTTGCTAGTTTGGGCTGAGCCTGACCGGGCCCCATGGGTTTTTTAATTCAACCTTTATTTAGACAGGTAAATCCCATTGAGCCTCGAGGACTCGTTTACAAGATAGGTAGAGACCCAGTCACAAGGTGCTCACCGACAAGCCCCTCCCCCAGGCCTGGCTCCAGGGTGGGACCCCAGTAACTCATGTTCAGGCAAGGGGCACTGAGCTCTTTGCTTTTTTCTGTCCATTTTTATTATTGTTTTTGTTATTATTAATATTATTATTATTATTATTATTATTTCTAATCACATTTTGATGGTCTTGTGACAATCATTCATCAATAGATGCACTGTTGAGTCAAACATAGTAAATATTATTGATAAAATCATAATTTTCTAAAGCCCAGGGTAGGGTTGGACGATATAGCCAAAACTTTTATCACAACAGATTTCTCAATTTTGGTCGATAAAAATATTATTCCCAAATCGATATAAACAATATAAAAGCCTCAGAAAAACTTTACGAACTGTACAAATAAATTAATGCTCACTTTTTATTTGTATGTCAAATAAACATAAAACTCTGAACTTTGTCAATAGTTTTAACTTTAATCACCAACATAACCTAACAACCCAAGCAGTAAACTTCTGCGCTTGCTGCTTGGGTTTCTCTTTAGATACAGCCGGGGGGTTGTTTCAGGCACGTTGGCTCAAACTTTATTTTCATCTTTAAATCACTTCTTGGTCTGCTGCCTTCATACATCTCCTCCTACATGTCTCTGTGTGAGTGCAGCTACATCGTGCGCTCTCAGGACATCATTACCTGCAGTGTCCCCTCAGTGAGGACTGAACTAGACAAAAGGACCTTCTCCTACTCCGCTCCTGTTTCCTGGAATATCTTGTAAAAAGATCTGAAGCTCGCGACCTTTGACCTCTCTAAGCGGCTTTAAGAATCTGTTGGACTCCTGGCAGGGACCAATGCAGACATGTTCCTGTTTTTAGTTTTCTACATTTGTCTTATAGTCTAGTTGTTTTTTATTACTTTTTTTGCATCTTATTTGTAAAAAAAAAAAAAAATCTGTATGCCTTTTTTATAACTGTCTATTGTTGTCATCATTCTTTGTTGAAATCAGGTCTCTCTTGTAAATGAGTCCTCGAGGCTCAATGAGATTTACCGTCTAAATAAAGGTTGAATGAAAACTTTTATTGTGCTTCATCTTCTGACTCTCAGCATATTCAAGATGGATGTGTTCCCACCGCTAGTTGGAACGACTCTCCGGCACATTTTGCAGCACACCGACATAGCCGAACCACTTCCACACCACCGAATTAGTCTTTCCTCTCATCAGTGATGTCATCTGCTTTCTCTTTGCTTGTGAAAGCTTGTTCAGTCACATTCTGACGGCCATGGGCACTCGATTTGAAGAGAAACTTACCGCGCGTTGGAGCTTAGCTTAGCGTAGCCTAGCCTGCTACCGCGGACTCCTTCGAGCTGTGGTGAACGTCACCACGCACTTACGTAGTTGTCTCACGGATTTTTCTGCTCGGGTTGAAACTGAAGCGGCCGCTTCAACCCCAACAGAAAAAGAAATGCGTCAATAAAACACTGCATTCATATAAAAATATTGAAAATGTGCTTAAAACTCATATCACCGTTATGGAATAAAATTATATTGTGATAAATATCGATATCGAATTATAGCCCTAGCCCAGGGGTTAATTTGATGTAACTTCCCTGATTGCACACAACAAACTGTCATCAACAAATTTAGACGACATTGACAATTGGATGGTACTAGTTGTGCACAGGCTTAAAACATGCAAAGATCAAACATTGTGATATTTTGGAGAAATGCATGCAAGAGATGGTCTTTAGGAAACTACAGCCAAAGGAAACACAAGAAATTGAATAAGAATGAAAGAAAAATGCAATGAGCAAACCAGGCAGAGAGTATGGCAAAGAAAGTACACTCTGCTCAGAGTCAGAGAGTAGAATTAGTTTGAACTTGTTGCACTTATGGCTCAGATTTGAGTAATGGATCATGAAAAAGACTAGAGCATAAGCCCACAAGTTTTATCTTTTCATTTCTTATCTGTGTCATCATAACAACTCAGTATAAAGACTACAGACAAACCAGAGGTGGAATCTGTGGAAACTTATTGTCTATAAAGTCCAAACCACAGACAACAAACAGGTTGTGTATTGTTCAGTGACTTTGTGGGAACGTAGTCCTTTTCTCAGTGGTATTGACACTGAGAGTGTGAGATAGGGTATATATACTTTACTTTGAGTAAATAAATAAATAGATAAAAATAAGAAAAGACAAGCAGACAAGAGAAAAATTACAACGGTTCAGAGTCATCTATCTCTTTCTGTGTCCTTGTTGTCTCTGAGTCATCGACTTTGTGTGCAGGTTATTTAAAGATATCCTTCAACACTTGCAGTCATTATGGACTGTGTATATTTATTCTGTCCTGTCCTAAGAAGACAGAAATTCCTCTCCTGAAAAATGATGGAGAGGTGAAGCAGGTATGCACTTGACCTGTGATGACCTGTCGACTCTAATTACTTCCTGCAGAAACTGAAGCTGAGGCAAACACAGTAGAAAAGCTGGACTGCAGCCTGTGCTCACCAATGAGCGTTATGTTTTAAAACTGTTGCTAAAATTAGTCTAATCTGTGCAATTGAGTTTTTTTTTTCCCTGCCTCCTGTATTTTCTATGCCCTCGATGAGTGTAGAAATGAAGTAAGAGTTTGGCAGCACAGTGATGCTGAAATAATCAAGTCAAGAAACGGGAACACAAACACTCTGGACTTGGTCCTTCAGGGAGATTTAGAAATTTCACTTTATTAGTAGTAAAGTACAGGTAGCTGGAAATAAAATGCATCCTTAATGGAAAGGCACAGGTGGCTCAGGGGCAAAGTTCTTAACCATCTCAGCTGAGTGGTTTAGTTCCCAGTTGGATTTCTAGCAAATCAACATACCCAACCGCCAATGTATCTGCAAGCCACTGAATAATCACGCCACGACTAATTCTTTAGTACGCCTTAGAACAACTATAGTAACAAGTGCAAAACCTGAGGGGGTTTAACACATTTAACACGACCCTGGAACAACTTTTGAGAATTTCATTCTGGTAGTGAACGATTGTTTGATAAATTTGACAGTGACCTTTATTTTCGTTATGCTTGTTTGGTTTTATATAGCAGTTTTTTTTGTGGTTTTTTTTTGTGGTTGAGTGCAAACACTGTAAATTAAAAATATGAAAAAATGACATTGTTTATCAATGAATTAATTTTGTGTTTTGACCTGTAGTTTGAGCTGTTTTGGAAGAAAGAAATAATCAAGGGCCTACCGCTATGCACTTCAGCTGTTTCTGACTGACCCTTTTAAAGGTCAAACCCATCACCCTGTCCTGACCTTGGTATCCCATTTCCTTTGCATCAGAGATCTGGGGGCAAGTGCCAGGCACATCTGTCTCTGAGATACCTGAGGCACACAAGACTGCCCCCACCAGTCACCTCAATTCCTCAGTGATACACTCATCACATGCCTCTGTCTTCCACAAATGAGCTCTGATTGAGGTGATTGGAATTTCCAGAGGCTGTCACAATCATTTTGATTGGAAAATAGACAGAAAATAATGGGAGAGACAGGCCTGTTATGAGAGCCCTGCCAAGGCTAAAATAATGCGTCAGAGTGAAGAGGTTAAAGACACAGCTTCCTTGTTAATAATTAATTGCTGTGTGGGTGGTGGATCCACTTCATCGCTTCTAGTCATCACTTGATAATTGCTTTACATTTAATTTGGCTTTGGAGACTGTTTTTCAAGCTGACTTAATTGTGCTTAAAGTGAATATGTGCTCAGACAGAGACTGTCATTTGATCCTAATAGTAGAGGGACTAAGGATAAAAATTGTTCACCTATAGAAAAAGCATGAAGTGAGTTTTTAACAGATGGGAAATAACTGACTGAGATTAAACTGTTGGATTAAAAACATCTGTTCTACAATACATAATTCTGGGAAAAAAAAATCCTAGATAATTTCTGAGAACCTTGTAGGCTATTTTCAAAATTATAAATCAATCAAGAAGGTTTTAGCAGTTCAAAGCATCAGAACCCGTGGCGCCACATAAAAAACTTTGATCTTTAATATCAAATTCTCTGTCCATCCATCTTTAGATGACATAAGCAGATGTTATTTGACTAAACATGAACATGGTACCTGCACGGACCAACTCTGACACAGTGAAGAGGAAAGTGCCCACCATACGCCTGAAAGACGACGCAGACCTCAAGGTAAGAAAAGATTTAGTTCCCAATCTTTGTGATGTTGTGGAAGAATTACTGGAAAAAGTTGCTCATGCAGTAGTTGCTGCTGACCCTCTTATTCGCACCAGCAGAGGCTCAAACTCCACTTTTCTACCGAAGTCTTCTTTCTTTGGGGAATTTGACTGCTTTCTTTGCAAACTCCAAAGCAGCCAGTGCTCAGTCTTGCATGAACACAGATAATAATCAAGTTAATTAGACCTGAGATTGAACGAACTGCAGCAGCAACTTAATCATTTGTGAGTTGATTAAGAATACTATATTCCACAGAGACCAGTTTTATTTTTCCAGACAACTTCAGTATAGGATGTATTCCAGAATCCACATGCATGAGCTTAGGATTTTCCTATTTAAGTGGAGATCTCAAGGTTTTAGTTCAGTGTTGTCAAATTAGCTATTTATTTTTTCTATTGTTTTGTCAATTCACACAGGAAATTTATCAATTTGGGAGGAAATTGGGCCAAGGTAGCTATGGAGCTGTTTATGAAGCTACCCACATTGAGACCCAGACAAATTGGGCTATTAAAGAAGTTTATAAACCAGCGGTGAGTGAATTTAAAGTCCCACTGGGAGGCCTGCCTTTTAATGTACTGGTAATATGTTGTAATAATAAAACTTGTTCATTTAAGAAGGTAAACGAATGCTCAGAACTTTTTGTCCCATCAGGCAGGAACTTCAAAGGCTCACAAGGCAGAAAACGAAATGCTAATCCTCAAATCAATGAACCATAATCACATAATACATCTCGAGGCAGTTTATGAGTCATCCTCGGTAAGCACTGCACACACGCTTAAAGAATGTGCTCACGTGTTAAGCATGAAACGTATTAAAGCTTTCACTACTGTATCCCTATTGAAATATCACTGATTAGCTCACCAGTTGTCTGTATTTCTCCTGATGTTTCTAGAGGATTTATTTGGTCACCGAGCTGTGCAAAGGTGGTGACCTCAAGCAGCTGCTGCAACAAAAAACCTTCTTCACCGAAGATGAGACAAGAAAAATTATATTTTGTCTGGCTGACGCAGTAGCTCACCTTCATAAAAAAGGTAAAGCATTTCAACAAACTGATGTGTAACCTGTTACTGTTACCTGTTTCAAAAGCTTTTGGCAAAGTTCCATTTAATTATCCAGCATTTTCTTTGGTTAGTTTTACTTTTGGCTCCGTTGGTTCACACAACGTGTTTTGCAGAAATACCCAAACACACTCATTATAAAGCATCGACACATTGCAGTTCTGTTTAGTAATGTTATATTTTTCATGTTTTTAAAACAACCAGTTACATCCTTGTTGGCCATTTAGATAGCAAAGATGAAATGTGCATATACTTGAGCGCACCCCATGATGTGGTCTCTTTGTTGAAATCAGGTCTCTCTTGTAAATGAGTCCTCGAGGCTCAATGGGATTAACCTGTAGAAATAAAGATTGAATGAATGAATATATCTGGACCTACCATTCAGTGTTCCTTACACATTGTTACATTGTTTTATCTTACAGTGTCTGTAAGATAAATCAAAGTCAAAATGGCAGAAGAACAAGGCCCACCTGGCTTGTCTGGGGTTTAGTCTTTTAGCCAGTTTCAGATACTCAAGGTTCTTGTGGTCAGTCCAGACTTGAAAAGGCTCCTTGGCTCCCTCCAACCAGTGCCTCCATTCCTCGAGCACCAGCTTGACTGCCAAGAGCTCTCGTTCTCCCACATCATAGTTGTGTTCTGCAGTAGATAGACTTCTAGAGAAAAAGGAACAGGGGTGAACCTTTCCATCAGCACAGTGCTGACTGAGGACAGCACCCATTCCATCCATCCATCCATCCATCCATCCATCCATCCATCCATCCATCCATCCATCCATCCATCCATCCATCCATCCATCCATCCATCCATCCATCCATCTTTACCCACTTCTTTCTTTTCAGGTCACGGGGGTCAATGGTGTCCATGTCCACTTTTGTGTCTCCATCAAGGATTTTAGTTCTGCAGCAGCAGAGCTTAAATGGGGGGTTCCGCAGGGGTCCATCCTGGGTCCCCTCCTATTCTCTTTATACCTGCTGCCGCTTGGTGCTATTTTCGGGAAACACAACATGACCTTCCACTTCTACGCCGATTACTGTCAAATTTACTTCCCCCTAAGACACAATGGTACAAGCTCTATTCAACCTCTGCTCGACTGCCTGGCTGACATCAGGGACTGGATGGCTTTAAACTTCTTAAGTTTCAATGAAAAGAAGTCTGAAGTCATGTTGTTCCCTCCCAATGACACGATCACAAACCACTGCATCGACCTCTCTGCTCTAACCCTGTCAGAAAAACAAAGAGTCACTAATCTGGGCGTGATAATGGACCCTTCCCTGAAACTTAACAATCACGTAAAGGTGATTGTTAAATCATGTTTCTTCCAGCTGAGGCGGCTGTCTAAACTGAAGCCCATATTGTCCAAAAAGAACCTGGAGACAGTAATACATGCATTCATTACATCTAGGCTTGATTACTGCAATTCACTCCTGTTTGGTATCAGTCAGACCTCCATTGCACGACTACAACTGGTCCAGAATGCAGCAGCCCCATTTTGAACCAGTACAGGCAAAAGAGAGCACATTACACCAGTTTTGGCCTCACTGCACTGGTTACCAGTTCACCTTCGAATCCAGTTCGAAATACTCCTGTATGTCTACAAATCACTGAACAGTTTTGCC